TTTTCAGGCCCAAGCACAATGACTTCGGTTTTGTCCGAGTTTAGAAGTAAGAAGTTGCAGGTCATCCAGGCCTTTATGTCTTTAAGACATGCTTGAAGTTTGACCAGCTGATCTGATTCATTTGGCTTCATAGATAAATATAACTGAGTATCATCTGCATAGCAATGGAAATTTATGTTGTGCTTCCTGATAATATTGCCTAAAGGGATCATGTATAAAGTGAAGAGAATTGGGCCTAACACAGAGCCCTGTGGAACGCTGTGACTAACGTCAGTTTGTGTGGAACATTTGTCATTGACATGAACAAATTGAAATCTTTCTGATAAATAAGATTTGAACCAACTTCGTGCAGTTCCTTTAATCCCAATAACATGTTCAAGTCTCTGCAGTAAGATGCTGTGATCAGTGGTGTCAAAAGCAGCACTGAGATCTAAGAGGACAAGTATGGAGACAAGTCCTTTGTCCGAGGCTAGGAGAAGATCATTGGTGACTTTCACCAATGCGGTTTCTGTACTATGATGGACTCTAAATCCTGACTGAAAATCCTCAAACAAATCAAACTAGCAACCATAACCTTGCCTTTTACAAGATCATGATCTCTTAATTATGATAAATTATTAAATGTTACTACTCATCATTCGTGCAATCATATAAACCTTGACAAGAAACAGGAAGTATAGGCTAAGTAATGTCGCCGTGGACACGGTGGGTTGCAATTTGGTCACCATTTTTAACCTAGGTTAGAGTTATTTACATTTTGTAACACTATGACAATTTGGTCATTAACAGCTCCCTTTTGCATTGTACTACTGGATGTTCTGACAACTAAAGTGAATTACTCAAAAGCCTAATGATTTACAAGCACGTTCTGCAGCATTCCAACCCTTGCACTATCTAATAATTATGAGAAAAGATCTCATAATTATGAGATCTTTTCCTGTTATCATGAATGTCATAGTTACAAGATAGGATCCTCCTTTTTCCCCTTTGGTGAATACAATGCACTTCTGTACAGGTGAAGAGCCAGTGAGGTGAAAGCTCACCATTCTCATCCACTGCCAACACACTGGCTCCTTTCCCCAGCAGCTCCTGGACCACCACTGTCAAACCTTTCCTGGCTGCTACATGCAGGGGCCTGCAGGAGGGTAGTGAAAGATACACTGTTAGAAGGAGTTCGGTCTGAGCATAGTGAGTCACCCTGCTACACAGTTGAGTGTCTGGCTGCACCATAGAATGCTACATACGTCTGGAGAGCAGCATTGGTGCAGTTGATGAGGTTTCTGTCGCTGATCTTCTCCAGAATCAACAAGGCACATGTTTCATGACCCTGATGGGAACAAACCACAACAAAGTGATGGATGTAGAGTAGCCTGCACCAATTTGAAGGTACAGCTGTCCAATTGTAACCACTTACTGATTAAAATCTGTACAGTGATAAGGCAGCACAAATCCACTTTGACAAGTTCATAAAATGTACCAAGTGCCTAATTTATCACTCATATACTGTTGTATAATTACCAACAGGTGAATAAATAGCACCTGCATTTTTCTTCCAACATGTGCTTATTAGGATTTTTTAAATGAACCTCTCCACCAAACAACAAATTTTTATTACTGTGTAGTTCATTACTTCCCTTTAGTCAAAGATCCTTAAATGTACCTAGTGACATTATTATCTATTATTCATTTTGGCCAGTGAATAAAAAACAAAAACAAAAACCTGTCTTTGTAAATGTGTTACCTTGCTGCAGGCCAGATGTAATGCTGTGTTTCTGTCTTTATCCTGTAGTGCCAAGTCTGCTTTAGCACTGCTCACCAACACCTCTGTAACACATGAAAAGAGATGGTTATGTATAGTCTGACATTTGGAAAACACAGACTAACATTGTATCTGTGTGTCAGTAGGTGTACTGACCCACGGCATTGGTCTGTCCCTGTAGCGCTGCCATCATCAGCGGGGTCCTGTGCATGTGTGTGTCCACTAGGTTTGCCTGAGCTCCATGGCTCAGAAGAAGGGAAATGCATTCTACATGGTCAGAAAATGCTGCAGCATGAAGGGGGGTCCTGCAATAACACAAACACAAGTCACATTTTACTAACAAAGCTAGTGCTCACCCCATGCAAATTTCAGAAAAACATGATGTAAAGTGAGTCTGTTACCTGCCCTTAGAATCAGTGCTGTTGATGATAGTTGGGCCCAAGGAATCAATTAACATCTCAGCCACTCCCTCATTGTCAGTCATACTGAAACATATACAAAACACGCTATCACATACCCTCAGACCAGTATCCAAGTCTCATAAGAATCATGGGCGCAGGCATTGTCTTACACAGCACAGTGCAGCGGACTGAAAGAGTTGCCTTTATTCTGCCTGAACACCTCCTGGTCTAACAGCACCTCCACACATGTATCATATCCTGCAGAGGAAGAGAGAGAGGACAGAAGTAGAATACATACTACTTTGCTGTGGCTTCATACAAAACAGACATGTTTCTCTAGAGTTCCGTGCTTGTGTCCCAGTACCATTGTAGCAGGCCCAGTGCAATGGTGTGTAGCCCTGGTTGTCCGTGAGGTGTGTGTTAGCATGTGAGGTGCTGATGGCCTGCAGCAAGGCACCCAGCACACCTACACGGCCGCAAGCGGATGCCAGGTGAAGAGGGGAGCGGCCCCCGATGTCTTTCACACAAACACTGGCCCCCCGCTGGAGGAGGGCCTCAACACACTCCTCCTGGCCTGTCACAGCCTGTGAAAAACATTAAAAATGATGAATAACTGAATATTACAAATAAAGTTGTAATGTTAATGGGTATGTGCAGATGTCTCACCCCCCGGTGTAGTGCTGTCCTCCCCCAGCGGTCTTGTATCTCTACATTGGCTCCTTGACTGAGCAGAGAGTACACACACTCTGTGTTTCCATTCAGCAGTGCCAACATCAGAGGAGTCCTGTGCACAATGTGGACATTGACATTTATTGTTCAGATGAAACTACACTATCAGTCAAATGTTTGGACACACTTTCCCATTCAAGTGACTGGCAGTGTAGTTAAACAAAAGAGTGGTAGAATAACCTGGTGACAGCCTCAAGCCCAAGCCATTTTGTCTATATATACCACATAAACACTCACTGTCCGTTGGTGTCTTGTACATCCACGTTAATGTGTTGTTTGTTATTGCTCATGAGCAGGCGCAGGCACTCGGGGTGGCCACTCATAGCTACGACAGACAAGCACACATGATTTTTTTTTTCCTAAAGCATTAACATGTTTTCAATTTTAAAAGCAAGAAAATAAACCTCATTGACATAGATTTTTTCAGTTGTGCAATTGCCTATATATGCATACTATATACCTGCAGCATGTATGGCTGTCTTTTTCTGTTTGTAGTCCCGGGTCATGGGTGAGGCGCCATGGTGTAGCAGCAAGGACACACACTCCTGATGACCCCTGGAGGAAGCCAGGCTGAGGGGGGTTTGGCCCTCTGGGCTGCAAACATCCACATCCACCAACGATGACAGGAGAACTTCTAATGTTCCACAGTGTCCATGGTATGCCTGGACATACCCAAGACACACACAGTAACACCATTTAGGAAACGTGGCAGAGACACTTAAATCCTGGTGTGATAGAGGGAGACAGCCAAATGCAGACCCACTGACAAATCCTTGAACTCACCACCAGATGGAGAGGACTGATGGGTGCCTGGTTCTCTGAGCCACTCAAGATGTCTGTTCCTGATGTCTCCATTAACTGAAATAGAGAGATGGCTTTCATAGGACTGCATTAAAAATGTACAGAGATTAAGACATGGTCGCACTATACCATGTCCTTCAATGCACACAACCTTGACCTGCCAAATGTTATCCAACCAGTAACAAAATAGAGGTGGTTTCACAGTAGCTCCACCTTCCCAACAGATAATCTAGCCACTATGTCCCAACAGAGGGAGCTACTTATAAAGAATCAGTATAAGGGGAATTTCTTTCTTACCACATCTAGAGGGGTCTGACTTGCCATCTGAGAGACATAAAGATTGTTTCTGTTAACATGACAAGTGTACTTCTCCAAAGCCTTTTAACAGATAGAAGTAATTTGAATGATTTGTTCTGTGTAGGACATCCAGCATATTTGCAGTCAGCGTGGCAGCTGTACACACCAGTTCCAGGCATAGTGTGCGCCCATAGGCTGAAGCATAATGTACAGCACTGTAACCCTGCTTGTCTCTCACTCTGGGATCAGCATCATTCCTTAACAGGTACTCAACACACCTGATGATGACAAAAAAGGTGTAATCGTTTAAAACAGAAGTCTTCATCTGACAGTGAGGATACTTTGATACTTAACTGTAAATTGCATCAATAAACCACGGAGCAGAGCTTACTTTCCATCAGTGTCAGCAGCAGCAGCATAGTGTAGGGGGCTGCAGCCTCTCTGGTCCAGCTCATTGATGCTTGACCCGAAGCCCACCAAGGCAAACACACACTGGTAGTTACAGTTGGCTGATGCATAGTGTAAAGGAGTCCTGAAATTGTATTTATACCAGTGAGAACCTGTACTCCCTAAAATATTCTCACTTTACCAATGTCTTCAGCTATTATTTTATGTCCATTCCTAGCATTCCTAAAATGAAAAGACATGTCTGGCTTTGGCTCACCTTCCAAAGTTGTCTTTCCTGTTAAAGTCTGCTCCTATGTTTAACAGCAGGTTCAGGCACTCCAGGTTCCTGGTTGGAGAGAGAGCTTTAACAGTGATGTATAGTTGACATACCAGTGTTGTTTACATGACTGGAGAATGCTGTTAAATAAGGAACAAACAAAAAACAGACGAACATAAAAAGAGGATCATAAATAAAACAATAGTAAGGCAAGAAGCAAAAAAATGGCTTACCCTCCAGCTGCAGCAGCATGTAGACAGGTCCTTCCAAAGTCATCAGGGGTGTCTATGTCAAACCCTGCCAAATATACAATCAGCATCAATTTGCATGTAAAGTAGGTGATTCCATTGGTAAGAATGGTGCAAGTATGAATGTACCTGAGGACAACAGCTTCCTGCAGCAGTCTGAGAAGCCGCTGAGAGCTGCCAGATGTAGAGGGAACATCCCATGAATGCCTCTCCTGAAAAGATAAAAGGCAGAGAATACAAGTCATTACAGGATATTAAGGTTAAGGTGTGAGAGCAGGAGTGCTTCTTGATTGATGGCAGGGGAAAAAAAAACAAAGGCTGAAAGAATATTTAATCATTTCTAGTCACCAAATTGTTCCCCTTTTATTTGTGCTTCATATTACTTCAGTACAGAGTAAATTCGATGGGAAGACAGACAGATGGTTGAATGTCAAACGTTACAAACTTGCAGGTGTTGGCCCCATGTTTGATGAGAGATGTGATGATGAGTTCGTGGCCGTAGCGGGCAGCGATATGAAGGGCAGCATTTCTGCTCTTGTCCTCACGATCAATCTCAGCTCCTGCAAATGTAGAAATAATGGGCATATGCATGTATTTCCATCAAAACAACATAAGCACACGCAGTAAAAAATAAAAAATTTGAATGAATTTTGAATGAACCACTTTTAACTCAGGCATGATGCAGACAGCACACAGCAGGAGCTCTCACCATTTTGAATAAGGGCCTGACAGCAGGAGAACCTCCCATGGGTAGCTGCCATGTGGAGGGGAGTTTTACCATCCTTGCTCTGGACAGATGGAGGGAGCAACAGGGACAGACAAACAAGACAATTATAATTCAAATTGTGGCAGTAGCTGATGGGGGGGGGTACTATGTCCCTTCTGCATGAGCTCTCCCACAGCAGCAGCATGTTGCTCTCCTACATCTCCCTCTTCCTGACCCTCTCTTGCTGCTTCAGGAGCACTGGTTGAAATCAATAAATATTCTAAACAAATCAACTGGATCACTAATCAAACTGGTTGGACTGATCAGTTTTCCGAGGTGTTTTTTGATATTCCCTGGACGAACAGCGTGTTAAAAAAAAAAAAAAACACACACACAGAGGAGGAACTGTTCACAGACAGTTCGTTGTCATAGCTGTCGTGCGTGTGAAAGAAAAATAGCGCAGGGCACAGAGGGACTGAGCGAATAGAAGCACTATGCACAGCACTACACTGAAATAAGATTTAAATTGATATGTGGCAGTCAATGTTAATATTGTGGCAGCCCACCACAAATAAGTCAATGTATGGGAAACACTGCTGTATACAGCCTATATAGTATAGAATATATATATAGTATAGAATGAGCAAGAGCCATCTTAAACCCCTTGTGGACTACACACACCCCCACACACATATTCCATGAGCAGCTTGCAGCCTCAGGGAGCCATCTCCTCCCCCTCTATCTTCCATATGGCCTTACATCTTGAGGCCGTGGGGACCTAATGGCAGTTTCCATCACTACTACCAAAGTGTTAACAACACTCTCATTTCAGCTTTCTACTTGATGCTGAGCAGCTTACACAAGCATAAGAGCTGATGACACAGGCAACTTTTTATTGTGTTCTTTAGATAACATAGACACGACTGTGTATGCACCAAGCGGCAACCTCCGAGGCTGAGAAATGAAGCCAGTGCAGAAGTGCCTCTAATGGCTGCTTGAGGCTGGCTCCAAAAGGGAGTCATGTTAAAATGCCCAACTTTACAGCAGAAATAAATGTTTACAGTCTGGTACAAAAAAATGATTTTGGTCTTTATAGCTAATTTCCCCTTCCATGACAACTGTATGGTGGGCAAATTTATTTTTACAACTCACCCATTTAAATTAGACTCAAAGTTATGCATAATTAAGGACATAGGTACTTTGAGTGACAGGCAGGAGAGTCACGCGATAAGTGGTTGGCCGCTAGCTGTCTAGTGAGCTCCACTCATGCTCTGCTTCTTTGCCCAATTTTGGATTAGATATAGCATGCAGAGTGAAGTGCTACCAATATGGCAACGGCCAGACTTAAGCTTCAAAACTGCTCTTCAGAAAACTAGTGGGTGACGCCATGGTGGGTTTGTCCAGCTTTTATATTCACTCAGTGGTATGCTATGCACTGACTTTGGCTCTGTCAATATAAAGCAAACATTGTTTCTCAGTTACATTTGTGTGTTTCAGTGTTTGTATGAAAGCACATCTGCATATGGCCACACCTGGATGTTGATGTAGGCTCCATGGGACAGCAGCAGCTCCTGGCACAGCGCCCCCTGGCGTGAGGAGGAGGCCAAGTGGAGAGCAGAAAACCCCCTCTCATTCACCTGAGGCAAGGTACAGTACAAAAGAACTCAGTTAAACACACAGTGATCAGGAAGGTACTATCTTGCACAGAGGGACGCGCACACACCTGGCTGACATTTGCCCCTGCCTTGATGAGGTCACTGACCACTACGTCCTGCCCATTGTAACAGGCCAAATGGAGAGGGGTGTTGCCATAGGCATTCACCTCATTTACCTGTGAGAGACAATTTATGTTATGAATTAGAATTTATGTTTATGTATGGTTTTTCAAGAACACAATCTATATGTACAGTGGGGCAAATAAGTATTTGATACAATAGAAAAATAGAACTTAATATTTGGTACTGAAACAGTTACAGAGGTCAGACGTTTCCTGTAGTTGTTGACCAGGTTTGCACACACTGCAGCAGGGATTTTGGCCCACTCCTCCACACAGATCTCCTCCATATCGTTCAGGTCTTGGGGCTGTCACTGGGCAACACAGAGTTTCAGCTTCCTCCATAGATTTTCTATTGGGTTCAGGTCTGGAGACTGGCTAAGGCCC